GCCATCCAAATTTTAGTTTGTATCATTGACAACTGTGTTCACTTCCTCGACACTAGAATTCAATTCCGTAGATTTATCACCCTGCTTAGAACTTTCTGTTTTTGGTACTTTAACAAATTGTTTACCACGTGCCACACGAATTCGTCTTCCCATAAGCAGCTGCAGGAAAAAAGTTTCCAAGAGGAAATCTTCATTTTAATATAGTTTATTAAATGTCTGTATAGAATGCCGTTGAGAATTTTAACTTTTCATGCCCTAGACATGATTTGAACACATAATTTCAATTGAGTCACAACAATCATCAAACAGAAAATTACCTTCCCGTGGGAAGCAGAAAGAGCTGCCTCGGCCTCGGCCTTGGTTTTGAAGCCCACAAATCCATATCCTGCGGACCTTCTCGGGTTATTTTGGAACACAATTTCTGCGGTAACAACATTATAATCCTCTGACTTAAAGAGCTCCTTGAGATCTTTAGATCTTGCTTCATATGGCAAATTTTCCACATACAAATTGAAAGTTATTGGCTTGGGTTGCGAAGAAGGGGGAGGAATCTTCGTCTTTTTTGGCCTGGCATAAGCCATCTTTATGACACGACCCTCCATTTCCTATAAGGCATTCCAAATAAGAGAAAATCCCAGTATGGGAAGGAAGCCACATAAGTATCATACATTTAGTTGCGCAAAATATAGTGGAAGATAAAAGTAATTTGAAGAACTTTTGATTTCTTTATCTAACACGTTTGCGAAAGCAGAAAAGCCAACGTATCTTTTCTAAATATTAATAAAGTGAGCAGTCACTCAGTGGCATATTGATCACTTATTCAAGGGCATAAAATGATCTAGTTCTCCAATATTGAGAAAACAGTGGCAGCACAACAGCACTGCCTTCTTCCCTCTCCCCTTCCCTAAAACATCTTCTAATCTCCACCACCACTATCATTCCATTTAAGCACATATCTCTTCTCGTTGCCCTAAAACTTTATAAAAACCACTCCTGCCCCTTTCTTAAATTTCTCTTGCTTTCTCCTCTTTTGACAATTTGCCACTCTTCGTCACTCTCCTAGCACCAAAAGGTCTCCTTAGAAGAAGAGGAACAAACCCAGTGGATGAGAAAACTATTCTTTCAATTGATAGCTTGGATCGAGGATGCGCCTATGGATTCAGCTATTCTCCAAGTGGGACAAACAAAGGGTAAAGCAACCCAATTGAGTATGTGTACCTATGTTTAAGAAGGATGCAACTGACAACCAACAAGCTTGTCAAGGTTATATTCATTACATGATTTTATAAAGATTCTGGTGGTTAAGTACGTGCAGGTTCCAGAGATTTTATCACTCTGCAATATATATGCCTTATGTGGATATTACTACAACAAAATAAGAAATTTGCATCAATTTTCTCCAACCAAAAATATACTTTCACTTCCAGCCCCAAACAGTTTCTAGGGCACCAAATAAGTTTCATTATCATTTGACAGGGTACTTTCAAAGCCTTCACAACGATAAAAAGATAAAATGAGCACAGTAGAAGTTCAGGATATCATAGTTCCAGCTCAATTCCTCGTTCCTTGATGCTAAATTAGCTCTGCTCGTTGAGCAAAGTTGAAGGTATGTCCAACAAGACTAGAAGGTCACAAACCAATGTCAGAGGTGGAAAAAGGTAAATAGAAAGTGAGCGTGTGAGAGGGTATGGCGCTAAATAATGGCGTCATGAGAAAGAATGAAGGCATATAGATATTTTGGCATGAATTGATGACGATGATGATGGAGTTAACTTGTTTCTAGAGGTGTCAAAAGCCTCTAAGAAATTGCCATTTATGCTCTCTTAATGACTGACTGAATGACATTTATCATCTACAAATGAAGAGACGAAACAATAGACCTCCCCTCCAGGAATACGATAACAAACTAGGCTCTTATATAAGTACTCATGTGCCATCCCTAATTGTATGAATAATTCAACGTCTCACATTCCCAGATTCAGTGCCTAATATGGGACAGAAGTTAAACTTAAAGTCGAAGGGATACTATCATAGTAGTGAATTTTGCCAATCAATTAAGCTCCAAAGTACAGACACAGGGAAAATGCACACACATATACATAAAACCAGGAACCAAAATTCTCTTCTTATATTTTAAAACGGCAATGAATTTTCAATTCGAACGAAACAAACACAAAACAGTAGTCAAGTAGATAAGTAGAACACTACATAAAGTCTTATCTAGTGAAAAGTTATAAAATTCACAAATTTAGTAACTAGTAGTCTTTCTCACCGACCAAACCGAGTATAAAACTAAACTCACAACAACACAAGCATTCACAGAAGATAACAGAACCCGATACACTTACAGATGATTCAAGATTATCCAGAGCCATTCGAGCCTCCTCCGGCGAACCCATTGTTACAAATGCCAAACCCCTGTTCCTGGTCTTGTCATACATGGCAAGCTTACACCACCACAGGGAAAAAAACAGACAAAAACAATCAAAACCCATGAAATAAAATAGCAAATTATTAATACCAAAAAAAAAACCCCTCTTCAAAGCAAAGAAAAATGAAAAACCTCAACGTCCACGACGGTGCCATACTTCTCGAACACAGTACGGACGTCTTCCGGGGTACAATGCCAAGGAACATTCTGGGCAAGCAATCTTGTGTCGGAGAACTCTTCGGGCTCTGCCTCGAGAACTGGGGTTTCGTCGAGAGCTTGGTCTTGGGCGGCGGCGGAGAATTGGAGAACGAAATTGCCGAGCTTTTTGGCCCTGAGGGAGGAGGAGCGAGAGTGGGTTTGGGGGAGAAAGAGAGAGGGGGAGCAAAGAGAGGGGGAGAGAGAGAGAGTGGTTGGAGTGTGCTTGGAGAGGTGCTGTGGAATTTGGAGAGAGAGGAGAGTTGTGAGAGGGAGGAGTTGTTCAGTGGGGAAAGAGAGATGACGAAGTAAAGCCATTGCTGTCGAGCTTTGTTGTGTCTGTGAAGGGGGAAGTTGGAAGTAGGGGTAGGGAGTGCGTGTTGGGGTTTTGGATAAGCAAAGTCTTGCGGTGTCAAGTGGGAGACTGGCAGCGGAGGTGATTAATTACAAAGTTGGCTAGAAGTAGTTTAGAAGCTCGAAATTTATTAATATTCTTCAATTCATTCGATTTGATAATCGAAAATTAAAAGTAATGTGAGATGTAAAATAAGAAAAATCAAAAGTCAGGGACTAGGAGGGTTAACCAAACTAGACACTATCCTTCAAGACTGATCAACATTCTATAATATTTTATGATGCTTTAATTTTATATGAACGAAATAAGAGTGGAGAATTGAACTCGAAACCTTGAAGTAAATGTTCTTAACTAATTGTAATCTTCTTAAAAAATAACACAAAGGATTAACTTTATGATTAAATAAGCAATTAAGCAATTCCATAGGCAATTAAGCAATTACTCACACAAGACTTCGCTACTCGAGAGCAAGGAGTAATTCCTCCTCAAAACGCTTAGGGGTTCATTCACATAAATTTGTGCTTATGGTCAGGATAAATTATTATTTAATGATCATTTCTAAATTGTTTGATTATCGAACTGTATAATAATAAATGGAAAAATTCTTTCGTTTCAAATTGTTGCTAAGAATTAAAAATAAGTCCGAATCCAGCGTCATTTTGGTTGCCGTCTCTATCGGGTTTGCATTCTCTAACAAAACTCAATCTAAGTGACTGCAATCTTATGGAACTTCCCAACGGTTTTGGCTGCATGTTCTCGTTAGTTGAGTTAAATCTGAGTAGAAATCCATTTGAAAGCATACCTGAGAGCATTTCTCGACCGTCTCAACTTCACTTGCTTGACGTGCAGGATTGGATTGCCCCAAGCTTCAAGTGTTACTCGCTGCGCATGTCCATTTGTTTTTCCTGGAAATGAACATCCAGAATGGTGGCTCAGTCGTACAAGTGCGGCGGGATGTTGTGCAAGTGTACAACTGCAACTGCATCCAGGTTGGTTTACTTGCAGTCCATGAACAAGTACACCCACCTTGGTCATAGCTCCTCTGGATTTTATGGAAACCGAAAGAGGCTGGATCATTGGCCATCTTTGTGCTGTGGGTTCGGGTCATTTATTTATTTAATTTTTTTTTTCTGTTCTCGTCTGTTTGTTGTTGCCTTTGTTTTTCCTCTTCGTTTATGAAGTTGTTTGACGGAAAATAAAATTTAAACTGAAGGCGAAGTCGAAAATGATTTGTTAAAAATAGAATAATTACACTGAAATACATGAATAGGATATTCAAATTTAGGTGTAGGGGCAAAATCATACTGTTAAAGCTAACTTGACTAAACTCATGTCTGCATACCATCATCAACGCATGATTTAAATCCAAGAAATGATGCTAGTATGCAAGATCTAGCCTAACTTTGCATTTCAGATTCATTCATCTTAGACCTCTAATTAGTTCAATAACATCCATTTAGTATTACGCTCTAATAATATTTTCAGTATCCAACAAATTTCAACTCTTCTTCAAGTAGATAATGCAAAGGGTCAAACCAAGCCAATTGGGTTTTATGTGTACGGTTTACCTGCTTTTAATGAGGATTATGAGTTGACATTATGCATTGTGCGGTTGGTCTAAATGAGTACTTAGCACTTGATTTAAGTATTTCAACCTCCTTTATGAGAATAATTTACATGGAACGGGTTCATCGCTACTGTGGTGCCACGTGACGGTGTACCCATGCCATGGATCCCTCTGACAGGTGTACACGTCACAATTTTCGAAGGATTTAGATTGCTGATTATTGAGCGTGGTGACGTCGTGGATCTCTCTAGTGGTCTAGTAGCACTTAACATGGTCTAGAGTGGAAGTGCAGAGATGTAGTTTCTGTATAGTACACGAGCAAGATGTGGAGATTTATCTCGACGCTGAGCAATATGCTGGAAGATTTATCTCCTTGTTCATTCATACCACTAGGCAACAGTAATATACGAGAACATGATCAGTGAAATTCATCATAAAACGCAAACAATTTCACAACTGCAAGTAACTGCTGCATCCCTAGAAGTTACCGAAGCTGTAAAGACAAGCACTTGTCTTTGAAAAGAAAGACGCCCAACCATTTACTAAAAGACTTAGCAAACGATTCTTACAATCAAACTTGTTAGTAAAGCATCCTGAATACACAAGGTACAAACGGGACTCGTTGAAAAAATTTCTACTACCTCTTAGAGGTTCTAGAGTTAGGGGAGTTACAGCGCAAGGGTGATAGGGGCTGTCTTGCTGCTTCTTGCTCACTGAAATCAATCTTCCCTTGAATTGGGCTGCTCGTCTTAGAGCTTGATTTGCGCTTATTTGACTGCGACAGAAAGACAATACATATGTTACTATGTTAGAGCAGACCAACACATGGAACAAACGAGTCAAAGCTGTTATTTGCCCTTGTCTCACCTTCGCTGATGCACTGTCAGTATGTTTTCCACCAGAAGCAGAATGGTTTCTTTCCTTCTGGTACAGCCTCAGTAATCTTTTGTTCTCCACATCTAGGACTTTGTTTTCTTCAAAAAGCAATTTGACCTGCATACGTTATATATATGGGATATCATTCTACGATATATTTACGTATATACATCACAAGTATGGGATATAGTTATACAATAACGAGTATTCCAGGGAAAACCGAGCGAGAAGACAGATAAGGAAACTAAGCGGAGGTTGAAAATAGTCAGCACTCCTTACCTCCTCTTCAGCCGTACGAAGATTGATCCTAAGATGTTCCTTATCCTTCTCAAGTGTTTTTACCTCAGCAACTAGTGATAGAACTTTTTGAGAGGACGGCTTCAAGCTACCACATTATCAAGACAAAAGTTAAGTGATGGCTCAATTCAGAAACAAGTTCAGATATGGGCAGCCACTCTCAAAGTAGACTTTGCATAAGTAGATTCTAATTCATAAACTACAATGTTAGCACTCACTAAATCATCTGAGAAAAGGATCATTCATAATTGTGAACAAACTCACCAGTTCCACATTTTTAGCAATCTTGCACATGACTCATTGCCTTTGTTGGCCTCCAGAAACGCACGTGCAGACACAGCTTCATCTTTACTGATCAATGTTGCCAAAACAGAATCCAGTAGTTTGTCTTCAATTGCTGTGTCTTCAGCAGATGAATCAACCTTCAATATAAAAACTTTTATCAGCCTTCATAAAATCGTATACAAATAAACTTGGATTTTACAACCTACATGTCAATCACAATCAAAATAGAAGAGAATTAACAAGATGGGGGGACAAGAAAAAGAAACTAAATCCAAGAATTTCACAAATGACTACAACATTTATCTAAATTACCTATTAACAAAACCCTCTTTGTCAACCAAAAGAGGGTGAAAAAACAATTTGGTCTTCTATCACAAAATAAAATCATGGTTAGTAATGTAATTTTACGCAAACCAAATTTTGTTGTTTTTTTTCAAACTTCACCTGTCACATCCCAGCTCGACTCCGCTGTAGCACGATATTGTCCACTTTGGGCTTACCATTCCCTCATGGATTTGTTTCTGGAAACTCAAACGAGAACTTTCCCAATGGGTCACCCATCCTAGGATTGCTCTCGCCCGAACTTGCTTAACTTTGGAGTTCCGATGGAATCCAAAGCCAGTGAGTTCCCAAAAGGCCTCGTGCTATAGAGAGGGGAGCATGTCCACATGTCATCATAGCATCTCTAATTTGAAAAAGAAACCCACATTTTCTCCATCTCTCTATTTCTCCCCCTCACATTTCTCTTTAACTTCTCTTTTCAATATTATAGTTTTTTTTTTTATCAAAATTTTTATATTTCAACACTCTTAGTGTGAGCTTCATCTAGTATGAAATAGCAAAATATTGGAACAAAAATATGCTTTCTGCTATACTGTAAGAGAAACAAAACAAAAACAGAACTCCAAATTCATGATTGAGAAACATGCTACAATGTCGAAAACAAATTATTGTCTTTAACACTCATTCCTATTTGATTAATTCATTTTATTTTGGTTGGACTTAATGCTTCAATTGAAGTTTCTGATTTCTGAGAGGTTTACATTAATTTTCCTTGCTAATTTTTGCCATCAACATCAGAACCAAATTGCATACATATACTTATTCTTCGAAGTGCTTTAAAGAAACCGGACAAGATAAACCTCATAAAAGGGCACAAGTTTTATTCTGAGTTTTTTTCTGTGATTCTGTGCACATGTATGTGATGTTTGCTCAAATCTAGAAAAATTGCGGAAAACTGAAACCAGGAATAACAGCTTATCTACAGCATCTAAATCAAAAATGAATTTTGTAAAAGTTTACATGCCATTTCACCAAGCACAAAGGAAATTTCATGAAGCTGCAATAACATTCTGGAAACCGAAAACATTACACAATTGAAAAAAAAAAAAACAAGCAATTCACAGTATAAACTATAAACAAATGAACTTGCAATACTCACAAACCCACCATGGTAAAATTCCGACTCATTGTCCAAGTTCATTTCTTTCAATTGATCAAAACCTATTCACAGTGCAAAAAAAAAAAAAAAACAAAAAAAAAAAGTAGAAGAAATTACCGGATGCATCTCCATTTTGTACTTGTATAACCCCAATTCATCCCTCAACTCTCTGACTTCGTCCTCCAACTTCTGAACACGAATCTCGGCCTCCTTGGCACGCTGATCAGCCTCGTTCCCAAAATCCATCAAAGCCTCTCGGTCATGATCGTAGAGCGAGCACTCCCTCTCCCACTTGTTGCATTGAGTCACCAGGTGCGCACACTCCGATGCCAATCTCTGATTCTCCTCAACGAACTTTCTCAAAGCTTGTGCATTCATACTCGCTTCGGCCTGTTTCACAAAACAATAAAAAATCCAAAATATGTATGTGTCTGTGTACACACACAATCATAAAAATATGTAAAGTCACGAACCTTAGCGCGCTCCAGGACTTGCTCTTTCTCCTTCAATTTCGAGAGAATAAGCGAGTACTGATTCTGAAGCCTCCGTTTCGCTTCTTCGCAGCATCGAAACTTCAATTCGAGGGTGTGCGTCGACACAGGGAGGCCCAGGGAGTGGTCGATCGACTCTTTGATATAGTCGTCGATTTCTTGCGGAAGATTCATTCTTTCTCGTTAGTTCTTATGGATCTTGGAAAACCCTAGACTCGCCAAAACCCCAGAAACGCAGCAACAAAAAATCTGATTTATCTTCCGCTAAGGTTTCATGGGAAGGTGAAAGGAAGATTACCGATAATCACTCTGGGTGCGAATTGAAACCCTAGAAATGGTGAATTTCAAATTCGCGGGGCGTGGAGATTAGGGATTTGGGGATTTTGGGGTCTGAAATCGAGAGTATGGGTTTATTTGGGGATTTCTTCGCTCTTTCTTGCTGTACTTTTTGAATTTTGGTCTGGAAGATTTCAAAAATGAAGGGGCGCTAGCCGTTGGAGCTAGTTTATAAAGACGGGCGTCAACCTGGATCCACGTGGCAAACGAAACGGAAAATGAATCACAAATAAACTACGATTTTTGTTGGGCTGGCCACGATTCGGACTGGATCGTTTCTTTTTTTAATTTTTTTTATAATGAGATTACATTTTACTTCTCACACATTTTTTTGTTAATTTTTATCTTTTGATTTTTTTTAAGTCATCGAATCCAATGGCTAAAAATTAGAAAAATGTGTAAAAAGTAAAAATGGTGTGGATATCACACCCCTAATTAAATAACAAAAAAATGTCCAAGTACAAATAGCAAAAAGAAAAGAGGTATTGTTGATTTGCTCGTTGACCTTGTATGCAGCTGCTCCAACCCCCCCCCCCAAACTTTAATTTTAGTCGATTACCCCCCTTAAACTTTTTAAATTAGCCAACTTCTCCCCTGAACTTTAATTTTTAGGCGAGCCCCTGAACTTTTATAAATAGGGAACTTTAAAGCCGAGCCCTTAAAGCCAAGCCGATATGATGATTGGTTGTTGGGGTTTGTTTAGAACCAATGGTAAGTGGAAAGGCAGTTAGATGATACTTGTTGACCCGTTTTTCTTTTCTTTGCTGATTCATCTCAATGAAATTTGTCGTGTTGCACTAAGTTACTTACGGATGTAGGCATGCAATCCGGGAACAAACTTTCATTCAATTTTTCATCTATCCAATTTTTCATTCTTTTTGCACTCATATATTGTCATGTGTTGTCTTCATGACCACGATGGGTGGAAAATTGGATGAAAGTTTTTAAAATCTTAGTGCCAGGGGAAAATTGGCTATTTATAAAAAGTTGATGGGGGTAAATTGCTAAAATCAAACTTCAAGAGGAAAATTGACTAATTATAAAAGTTTAAGGGTAATCAGTTAAAATTAAAATTTTGAGAAAAATTGGTAGCTCCATACAAGTTCAAAGAGTAAATTGACAAATATGCCAAAAGAAAATACATCAGTCCAACACCAAGTCTGAAGCCCAAAAAATTAGAAGCTCAAACTCAATGATGTTCATGACACTACTACAAAACCATTTATTAGTGTCGCTATGATAACCAACAAGAAACGTATATTACTATCGGATATTAAGCAAAATTCGACAGAAAATTGATGTAATGGCGGATATAATAAGCGACAGAATTGCCAGCGTCAGGAAATGAAATTTCCGACAGAAAATATTCTAAAACTGATAGAAATTGTGTCGGATATAACCGACAAATAATATATTAATAATGAATAAATCAGAGCATTCTCTGTTGGATAAAACCGACAAAAAATACTCTAAATCTGACAGAACTTGCATCGAATATAACTGATAGAGAATTTATTAATAATGAATAAATAAGAGCATTATCTGTCAGATAAAACCGACATAAAATATATTAATAATAAAAAAATATAAACCACTTTCTGAATCATTTCTTTCCCTTTCAAGTTGGCCTTCCCTGCATTCACTGCATTTTCCAGCTTTGAGATGTGTAACGTTCTTCTAAGGTACACCATATTCTTCAATTCTTCAAGTTTGTTTCTAGTTTCGCAACTAACCTGAATATATATATATATATATACACAAACATTCAGAGATTACGTAACGGAACAAAATTTTTTTACAGTTATAAACGAAAAATCACAATTTAACAGTTATTTTAGCTCCGATTTTAATGATTTTTTTACAGCTACACTCCTCGACCCTATGAGAATGCAATGAATAAATTTGATCTTCAATTTAAAATACTTAAACTAGTGGATACCACAAAATCTTATTTTGTACTTGGTGGAAGTATAACATTAACTCTTAAGTGTTTATTTAATCTACCGTTTTGACGCGATACACATTCTATGAAACTTTTTTCAATGATCTAACCGTCAAATTTGTTTGTACACATTCCGAGATCGCATACGTAAAAAGTCACAAAAAACAAACATTCAGATATTAGGTAACACAACAAAAGTTTTCGACAGTTATAAACGAAAAATCACAATTTAACGGTTATTTTAGCTCCGATTTTGATGATTTTTTACAGCTACACTCCTCGATCCTATAAGAATGCATTGAATGAATTCGATCTTCAATTTAAAATATTTACACTAGTGGATACCACAAAATCTTATTTTATACTTGATGGGGAAGTATAACATTAACTATTAAGTGTTTGTTTAATCTACCGTTTTGATGCGATACACATTCTATGAAACGTGTTTCAACGATCCAACCGTCAAACTTGTTTGTACACATTCTGAGATTGCATACGTAAAAAATCGCAAAAATAAACATTTAGAGATTAGGTACGGAACAAAAGTTTTTGATGGTTATAAACGAAAAATCACAATTTAACGGTTATTTTAACTCTGATTTTGATGATTTTTTACAGCTGTTGATGCACAAAATCAGTGAGGACTTTGGTACAACAGAAAATGTTAAGTTTGTGACCTTCGCTAGATTGCTCTGGTCATTAGTGTGGATAAGTATGCAAATGGATAGAAACAGGGAAGCAAACACAAGATGTACGTGGTTCACCCAGATTGGCTACGTCCACGGAGTAGAGGAGTTCTCAATAATTGTGAAGGGTTTACAGAAGTACATAGGTTCAAGCTCTCCTTTAGTGAGTACAAGTGAATGATTTAGTACAAATGATATTAGGAAATATTGTGAGAGAATGATCTCTATTTATAGAAGAGAGTTTCTAGTTTCATTTTGACATTAACACGTGTCGTGTTGTGATTGGCTTCTGATATTGACACGTGTCGCGCTATGATTGGCTTCTGATGTCAACACGTGTCGCACTGTGATTGGCCTCCTGGTTGGAGGGAAACTCTTATGGGTCCTTGACGGTATAACGTTGACCGGTGCTCAGTAGTTTTGGGATTGGTCAAGTATGGTACAAACAACAGCTACACTCCTCGACCCTATAAGAATGCAATGAATGAATTCGATCTTCAATTTAAAATATTTACACTAGTGAATAAATCTTATTTTATACTTAATGGAAGTATAACATTAAATCTTAAGTGTTTGTTAAATCTATCAATTTGATAGGATATGCATTCTACGAAACTAATTTCAATGATCCAACCGTCAAATATGTTTGTATATACTCCGAGATAACATGTGTAAAAAATCGCAAAAAAAAAAAAAAATCAAAGATTAGGTAACGGGACCCAAAATTTCGACGGTTATAAACAATAAAATCACTATTTGTTTAATATAATATAATATTTTTTAAGAAAGTTTAATTAAAAGTAATGGTTTAAAAAAAATTGGAAATAATATAATATTTTGACACAATTTGTGTTGGATATAACCGCCATAATTAGTATAAAAAATTTGAAAATATTTTTGTCGGTTATAACTGCCGGAGTTAGTATAAAAAATTCAAAAATAATTGACATATTTGACATATTACTTACTCACGTCGGATATATCGGCCAAAATTGGTTAAAATTATTTTTAAAATGTATTTAATGGAGTTAAGGGCCCACTTCATTATTCTTGTCAGATATAACCGACAGTAATACTTTATTTTCCGACACTTTTTAAACATGCTGTCAGAAAAACATTTTATCCGACAGTAACAATATAAAACCACCACCACTAACCGACACAATAAAGCCAATTTTGTAGTAGTGTGATCTTTTGTCCAAGGCTAGCATGCTTATGCAAATCCGTGAGCCTATCCCCCCTAATACTACCAAGCTTGATCCATAAGCAGGGATGGTAATTCTAACCATTAAACCCAATAACGCCCCAAATGGAACATGTTTGGGTATGAAAGATTGGGTATATTTTGGATAGGGGAAAAATCGTGAATATGTAGATGTGGCATCTTCTCTGGAAGTACTTTTCCTCCATCCATGGGTGGTATCTTTAACCGATGAAGATGCACAAGGTAATGTATCAATTTCACTTGAAGTTTACAGTTTCGGGCTTGGTCAAGTGCGATACAAACCCTATAGTAGGAGTCCCCCAAGTCACTGAGTTAGAAGATTTGCCGAAGGAGGTAACAGACAAGGTAAGCAATCAGACTTCTAAGCAAGCAACCTGGATCGGAGGTTCGACTTCAGCTTACGGTTGATTGTTCTCCTTCTCCTTGTGTCGTAAACAACAACAAGGATAAGGAAAAGCAAATGGAGAAGAGATGATATGAGATACTTTTGCTTTTGAAGAAGTAACTTTCCACAGGCTTATTCTTGAACTGGGCTAGAGGGTTTTCTGGTTTCCTCCAGAGTATAAGGCTGACTCAAGAATTTGAGGGTCAAAACAAGTCCATCAAATCTAAAGTACGTTCGACCCTAATGATATGGGGTACTTTTGCTGTTGACAAAGTAGTGGATGTATCGGCATATGTTCTGTTACGCTTGTCTCCATATGCTTCCTTTTATCCTTCTCGCTTGCCCTATCTGTTCCTCAGGTAGATGTGGTATCTTCTCTGGAAGCATAAGATGTTGAAGATGAGTACTCGAGAGCAATGCCAAGTAAGTAATCAGACAAGGGGTTCCAGGCAGTCAATTCCTGACTGGAAGCTTGATTCCAAGTGCTGACTGATTGCTCTCTTTCTCCTTGTCTTGCAGGTAAGAACAAGGCCAAAGGAAAAGACAGGGAAAAAGCATGATATGGGATACTTTTGCTTTTAACCCTGATGATATGAGATACTCTTGCTCTAGTGTGGCTTGTTTGCAAAGGTATTATAAGGAGGAAAAGAAACTGAGTATTTCGAGTGACTCTGCTGAGAGTGCCCTCTCGGATGTGAAGAAAAGTTGGGCATTTTTTTTTATTTGCAGGTCTGCCTGGCTGTGGAGGATGAAGGTCAACATATATAGGAGTCTCCCTAACAACAAGTAGTAGTGTTATTCCTTTACCTTTCTTGGTCACAGCAATGTAGTGGGAGTTGCAAACTTCACGTGTTTTAACTTTGTTAGAGCACTTTGAAAAAGTGGTCTGTGGTATCTGGAAAACTGAT